GTGTGTGGAGAGCAATGGGCTTGAGTATTCCAGATGGATGCTTTATGGTTTTGGGTAGATTATCTCAACAGTTGATTATTCTTAGCTGACACTGAAGGAAGGCATTTTTTGAGAGGTTTTGTTGGCTTTATTGCTGCCTTGTAGGGATTAATTTCAACCATTCAAAAGAAAAACGTGTGTTTATGATGAACTGCCAGTAGCAGAAATAACATCACTGTGGTGTGACTAACAGAAACTGAGGAATTAAAGGGGAAAAGCCAAACATTTGGTTCATGTATCCCTCAGTCCAAACTAGAAGTGTTAATAAACTTTCAAGTGAGGACTGGGAGAGAAGCTTATTCTCCAACTTCCTGCAGTTATGTCTTGTTAAAGAAAATGGGAGCATTCTAGTGAAGGCTTAAGAACAAGTCTTGAATACTTAGTTTGACTTAATTCCTGAGCTTATCAGTCTGTGTTTTTGGTAGTATTCTAGTGATCTGGAGAAAGCTGATCCTGACCACATTATTGCACTGGTTACTGAAGTGATTCCTAAATATTCCTGCCTAATCTTTTGTCCCACTAAAAAGAACTGTGAAAATGTGGCTTCTATGGTGTGCAAGTACCTCAAGAAGTAAGTTTCTTTCATGATTTTTTAATTATGTATGGAGTAATTGGTCAGAACTTAGGGTTCATCTTCACTAGTTTACAAGTGACTTTCCTTGGTGATGAAAAGTAAAATACTCTGAGTGTGGAACCATGTAAAGATCCTGGCTGCATAAATGAGAGAGAAAACTGCTCCAGGCTTTGGAAACAAGTTTTACAAACAAAAATTAATATTTTTTTTTGAAACAAAACAGTTGGAAAAATAGTTATTAGAAGACAAATAATAGAAAAGGAAAAGCCAATTAATCTAACCTTGTGTCTCTTTGACATGTGTCTCTGCAAGCCTAGAGAAGCATTTTCCCTATAGCTCAGTATTCAGCTGTGTGTTACCAGGTGATTTGGTATCTTTGCTCCACACCTACTTTGTGAATTTAAGTTGTAAAATCTATACTAGGCTTTGTTAATAAAGACTTAAAATTTGATATCACTTCAATGTGGTTTGATTGGCACATAATGGTCTAGCCAAGTTGTGTTTTAAGTAGGAAGAAATGATATTAAACAAAAATCCAGCCATTAAAAAATGAGACTATTTTGATGTAGCTGTAGTCTCCACTGAGCTGCCACTGGCCCTGTTTTTCTTTCAGAGCACTCCATACCCACACCCAGTCAGTGTTTGGTGCCTTCTGTACCTTGGCTTACCAACAAGAGGAGTTCTGTTGAGACTCAATCAGTCTCCTGGGTATTGCTGTTTTAAAGTTACTGGAAACAATGTCTCCAACCTAGATGTTAGAGCAGTGGGAAAAGAACAGAAATAGGCAAGAAGAATGGCTTCTGATTATTTTAGCAGTTAATGATTGATCACAGTCTCAAGAAATGTTTTTATTTCTCCAAGAGAATTTAGAGCTCACAGGGAGAAAGAGAAACAAGAGCTCATCAGGAACCTGAGGAGTATTGGAAGTGGGAGCATCTGCCCTGTCCTGAAGCAGACAGTCCCTTTTGGGGTTGCCTACCACCACAGTGGCCTCACAAATGATGAGAGGAGGAGCATAGAGGAAGCATACTCTGCAGGTGTCCTCTGTCTGCTTGCTTGTACAGCTACTTTAGCTGCTGGAGTCAACCTGCCAGCAAGAAGGTCAATAACTGAAACATTTCAGTCTTGCTTTGATTTTTTTGCTTTAAGTTAAAAACACTGGTGCAGTTTAAGTATGTTTCTGCTTTTACTAGCACACTCTGAGATTCTTAAGCTCTGAGTAGATGTAAAGATGTGTCCCACAGGTCCTGAAAAATGGCTTATTCAGTAAACCTGGAGTTGCTCAATGTTCTCCTGCTGGATTTACACATCTCTTCAAATAGGTGGATTTGATTTTTATGAGCTACTAAGCAAGAGACATTTATAAAGAATGCCTTTGTCAAATTGTATTGCTGCTTCAGTAATTTTAATGTGAAGCATAACTTACTAAAGATTTCTTTACAGGGTTATTCTCAGAGCTCCTTATGTTGCTAATGACTTCCTGAAGAAGAACCAGTATAAACAAATGATTGGTAGAGCTGGTCGAGCTGGCATTGACACTGCTGGAGAAAGTATCCTCATAGTGCAAGAAAAAGACAAACACTTGGTAACTTTTATGAAGCTGTTGGTAATTTAAATTGTTGGATTAAGCTGAGGTAAATAGGAGCTGAGCTGCTTTGGGTTGATTTTTGTTCTCTTGCAAGTATTTGACTCCTGTAGCACCTATAAACTACCTTTATATGGTTTGTTTTCAGATGTGAACTGTAAACTTTAGATGGCTACACTTTTCTTTATAAGCTGAATCATGCAGATCAGTATTTTTTTAAGTATAAAACTAATGCATGAGTATTTTCACTGAACTGATGTATTTCTTGGTGTTTTTAGGTTCAGGATTTAGTTAGCAGTCCCTTGGAGAACTGTTACAGCAATCTTCTGGTGGAGCTGACTAAGGGAATGGAGAGCCTCCTGTTATCTTTGGTTGGACTGAAGGTATCAGTTAACTCTTCTCTGTGAGTAACTTCAGTGCTTGGGAATGCAAAGAAGCTCTCACCTGTTGATTCTAGAAAAAAAGCAGACTTTTAAAAACAGACTAGCAGACAAGTTCAGAGCAGCCTCTGATCAGGTGGCAAAGAGTTGATGAGTCTTCTTTAACTCAGTGCTGTCTTGTTTCTATACAAAAAAAACAGACTTTTAAAAACAGACTAGCAGACAAGTTCAGAGCAGCCTCTGATCAGGTGGCAAAGAGTTGATGAGTCTTCTTTAACTCAGTGGTGTAACCTGATAATTTCCTGTGTACAAGTCAAAAGTACAGCTACCTGATGATATGTTACAGTATTAATATTTCAGCTTCTCATACTTGTTTCCAGTTTCTGTTTGTATTTGGAATCAAATTAACATGATGCAGTGGGTAGAATAACAGACCAGGTGGAGAGCAGTCCCATCAGCTCCATCATGCTCTCGTGTTGTACTTGGTACTGTGTTTCTGTAGAAACACATGTTAACAAGATGCAGTGGGCAGAATAACAGCCAGGTGGAGAGCAGTCCCATCAGCTCCATCATGCTCTCGTGTTGTACTTGGTACTGTGTTTCTGTAGAAACACATGTTAACAAGATGCCAAACTGCTTCTCTAGTCAGTGGTTTTTTCACATAGCTTATGAAATGTGTTCTGTGAAGTGACACTTTAACAATGCTGATGACCTGCAAATCTGACACAGGTAGCAGTGAGCTGTGAGGAAGTCACCGAGTTCATGTGCAGTACGTTGCTGGGTGTTCAGCAGCAGCTGCTGCCCAAAGAGAGGAGCCTCTCAGAGACAATTGCTGATGGGCTGGAAAACCTGATAGAGAAAGGACTGCTGAAAAGAACATCTGAGAAGAACCACAATTCCAAGTGTACACTAACAATCACACCCTTGGGTAAAGCTACATACAAAGGTAAGGCTCTTATTGTAATTATTTCAAGAAACCTTTTCATCTCAGCTTTATCTCAGTTTGATATGTGTTCCCATCTTCATCCTGAAACTGCAATGAGAGACAAGTTGTAAAGACAGTTCTGATGGCTGGCTGGCTGTGCTGGACTGGAACTGGGAATGAACAAGTGGTGCATGACAGACTGCTGGCCATGCAGTGCAGTAACATTGGGCACAACAGGAGTAAAACCACAACTGCACCCCAAAAAAATGACTTAAAGGCCTGATTTAGTGGCTGTAAATCACTTGTGGACTTGCTTTATCATTCATTGCTATGACCAGGTGTTGTGTGCAGGGGGATTTTCTGACCTAGAGGAAGCTTAAGGGAGGGAGGAGGTATATGGCACAGAGCAAGTGTAATAAAGAAGAGAGCAGATCAGAAAGTTCTGTTTTCTGCTCATAGCAGAACCATATGGAGTCTGGAAGATGACTGGAATTGGATGGATTTCTGAGATTCCTTCAGGATGGTTCTAGGATTTCCATTAAAGCCCATTCACAAACACTCCAAAACCACAGACATAGATGATGAAGGTTCAGGTCCCAGCTAGATCTCTTCAGATGGCATGGCAAGTTTTTGTGGAAGACAGAGCCCTAGTATTTCCTTGATGTTAAAAATATTACACTTAACTTTTCCTGTTTCAAATTGCAATATATTGTGTGCTTATTATAGGGTCAATAGACTTGGCATACTGCAATCTTCTTTACAGAGAACTGAAGAAAGGTTTGGAAGGGCTGGTTCTTGAGAGCAATCTTCATCTGCTGTATCTGACAACTCCATATGATATGGTGTCTACCTGTAGCCCAGACTGGATGATATACTTGAGGCAGGTGAGAATTTACTAACAAACATGCATTGGGGCATAGAGTAATCCTGCTTATTAAATTTTAAGTAAGTTTTCACACATAGGAAATGTAGACAGTGGGGTAATGATTTGAGGAAGAGTTAAGATACACTATTTTATTTCCAGTCACAGGGCAGAAGTGCTTTCCTGTATTGCATAAAAAGCTGAGTTCTCTTTTGTATCTATAATATTTGACCCTGTTTGGGGGAAGCAGTGATGTGAAACACATCTCTTGAGTTGCAGTACTCAGTCCTGACTCTAATGCTGGCCCTGCCATCACCAGAGCCTGGTTAGTCTCAAAGACTTCCCTATAGATCAGTCAGAGGAACCACATCATTGTAGCCTTGCAAGAAAGCCACTATTAAATTAATCAAGAGCCATGTTTACCATTTGGTGCTTGCTCATTCAATCTGTAGTTTAGGAAGCAAAATCCACTAGAGAATGTTAAGTCTTAATCTTCATTTGAGTCTAATATGAACTCCAGCTCTGATTGCAGCTACTGCACTCTGACCAATACCTCCCTACAGCCATCCTTAGCAGCACAGGCTTGCACACTGCAAGATCCACTCACAATTCAACCACTCCCTTCTCTGTGCAGTGTTGTATGCCAGGGGCAGCACTAAAATCTATCTAATTTTCTTCAAGTGTGGCATTCAGAGACAGACAATTACAGATACTTTCAAAGAAGCTGCTGATCTTACTGTCTAGTGACTCAGTACTATAGAGAGGTATTGAAAAACACTCACCTTGAGTAACAGAATGGTGTTTTCTATCATATTAAGAGAATTAAGTGTCTGAAAACTCTTTATAAAATCTTATTTTAGTTCAACCAGCTAAGTGCAGCAGAGCAAAAAGTCATGGATATTGTGGGGGTCCCTGAAAGCTTTATTACAAAAAAGGCTTCTGGTCAAGCCATCAGAAAGGTAGGCTGGAGATTTCTTATTCTTGAGATAACAGTTTAAGTCATCTCATAATTCACAAATTTCTATTTTTCTGCTGGTGTTGATTGTTACTGTTCTACTTATTAAGGTTTTTAACCACACTGGCTGATTTTCTTGATGTTGTTTAATGTCTTTGGGTATAATACTGACATGGTTTAGAGATGTGAAGGAGTGGAGATGAAAATTCCTTGTAGCACTCATGGAGTATTTTGAGTGTGATGCTGGCTCTGAATTCTAACTTCCTTTATTCCTAGAAGGTGGACAGTGCTGTGGTGAACAGGCTGTACCTGTCCTTTGTCCTCTATGCTCTGCTGAAAGAGACCAATGTATGGAGTGTGTCAGAGAAGTTCAATATGTCCCGAGGACATGTGCAGAACCTCCTGAATTCTGCTGCCTCCTTTGCCTCCTGTGTCCTGCGTTTCTGTGAGGTACTGTGTTCAGTGGATTCCAGGAAGTTATTTGGGATTGGTTCTGCAAAATCTGGAGTTCTGCTCTTAAGTTAGAACTGAACAGAGGTGTTACATTGCACCTTTCCTGTGCAAGACTCCATTTTCCACCTTTCCTGTGCAAGATCAGTTTTGCTGTCCAGGAAAGCATGCTTCATGTCTCCTTTAGTAAAAGGAAGCTTTATACACTGGGAATGTGAAAATGCACAAACTGTGCAGGGTTGGTCAGTGTCAGTGCTCTGGTGGAATGACAGTTTTCCCTTTCTCTTGGCAATAAGCCCATCTGGTTGTGGAATGGCCTCTCAGGAAAACAGCTGACATGGCTTGCTCTCCTGTTGTTTTTCCTCTTGAAGTAGTGCATCACTTATCCTTCAGAACTGCCCCACATCTGGGATGTTCAGCTGCAGAGTGCTGAGTACAGCTCTGCAACTAGCTGAAAGGGTAGCTAGAAATAATAGTTCTTCCCCTGTCTAAAAGCCAAATAGGTGTTTGTTGTAGCAGAGCAATTATCAGACATACCCCCAAATACAAAAATTAGGATCTGATTTTTAGTGATCTTTACCTCTGCAGGAACTGGAAGAATTCTGGGTTTATAAAGCCTTGCTGACAGAACTCACCAAGAAGTTGACCTACTGTGTTAAGGCAGAGCTCATCCCTCTGATGGAAGTAGCAGGGGTTCTAGAGGTCAGTAAACCTGGCTCTGTGTCAGACTTTTTCAATGTAAACTTGTGTGCTGAATGTTTCCAGGATGTCTGGAAGACCAAGCTAGCTTTTTCCTGAGCATTTGGCACAGTGCAGATATCCCACACTGGTCTGGGAGGCTGGGGAAGACGTGGTCTGCTGAGGAAGTGTGAGCTGGAGCAAATGTTTTTCTTCTGGCTGCTACCACAGCAACCATGACAGTACTGTATTTGGACAGGAATTTAGCTGTGTGTCCTGTTGGAAAAGAGGGTCCAGGTTTCTTTTGTGGTAAGGGCTCTCCAGGTCATGGGAGTAAAGAGGAGTAAGAATTCAGTTATGCTGGAGGCTCCTCACAGAAATATGTGCAGTCTTACAGGGAACTTTTACAATCCCTTGCAGTGCTGCATGTATTTTAATAAGAAACTTAACTGGTCTCTGAATCAAAGGCTCTTATGGAAGTAGAAAATCTTCCTTGGCTTCAGTGCAAGATTGTCAGTAATCATTGGATCTCTGCAAAATGATCAGATTTGCCTGTCCAGCCTATTGTAGAGTCAGTTTGTCAGCAAAACACTGAATTTAGTGGCAGTAGGGGTTTATTCTGAGAAGGTAAACAATGATGAAGACTTAGAGCCTGATGGTTTTTATGTATATCAAATTTTCTGAATTGGATGCACAAGGTAAGTTGTCCTTTTTTCATGAGTCATTCCCTATGGGAGTATTTCTGTGTAAGGGCAAAAACACCCTGGGCAACATAATTCTGCTGAAGTTGCTTTAAAGATAGCTTCAAAACTATTGCTGTAGGTAAGGAACTTCTGCACTGGAGTTAAAACTACACCACCAATGTGCTGATGTTTGTAGCAGGTAGGTTGTCATCATGGACAGATGGGATTTGCTTAGATGTCTGTGAAGGAAATTATAAAATCAATCTTAAGCTTACTGTAGTGAAAGAGAAGATTTTCTGCACATACACTTTCACAGCTTTCAAAGAGCAATCTAAAAACCTTTTCATGGTATCTGTTCTTTGGCAGGGAAGGGTTCTGTGTCATTGGTCACACTCCTGCTACAGCAGATAGAGCACAAAAACTATTTGCTGGCAATTAGTGCTTATATCTGGTGAAATTAATGATACCTGCTTCACATCAGTGAACATACATGGCACTCAGTTACCATGGAGGAAGTTAATATAATGGGAGCTGTTACCTCTTGGATGCTAAAGCTTACACATGCCATCAAATAAATATTATTCTATTCCTTGTTGTCTCTAAAAGAGACAAGGGGGTGGGAAAAAAGGCAAAAGATAATTGACCAGATGCTTGGAGGTGTGACACTAGTTCATCACATGGGTGTTGTTGCATAACTCAGGATACTGAAGCCTTGGCTATGCTAAATTGCTCCACTGCTAGTGCAGAAATGCACTTTAAATTAAACTTTGTAAAGCTCTAGTACTATTTGTTTTGCTAAGGAAATGTTTGCTCAGAGAGCCTCTGTTCAGCCAGTGCTGCTGGGCCACCTCACACAGCAACAGGATCAGAGCAGGGGAGGCACATAACACATGCCCTGTAAAGCTGGTGATAGCCAAATTCCAGAGACTCTTTCCTCTGTGTGTGAGTTCACAGCACAAAACTAGGGAAATAAAAAAGGTACTGTGATACTGAAGGAAAAATTACTTATAAGCTTGAAACAGGAAAGTACAGTCTTTTCCAGAATTTTGGGAGAGCTCTGTTCTGTGAAAAAAAAACTGATAAAATCAGTCCTCCTTTCACTGAAACAACCCCAAAGAATGAGAGAGAGTCATTCCTGTGTGACAGGGAATGCAGAAGGCATAGCAAGAGGATGTCAGTCAGTATCCTTCAGGCTCAGAGAAAATAATGACAGATGGGTTCCTGAGGGCTGGGTAAGATTTGTGCAGGGAGGCAGATCGTGGTGGCAAAGCTCTGTGTTTGGGGAGTCAAGATTCTCAGCAAGTATTCCTGTTCTTAGAAACATAAAGGTAACTGGAGTGATGGGCTTGGGCTTGGTGCAGAGGTTGGCACTTCATGCTCATCCTTGCTGCCTGTTCTAAACCCTAACCCCATTTTGGACTTGCAGGCACGAGCAAAGCAGCTTTACAATGCAGGGTACAAAACCTTGGCCCATTTGGCTAATGCAGACCCAGAAACTCTGGTCAGGACAATTGAGCACTTGTCACGACGTCAGGCCAAGCAAATTGTTTCATCTGCAAAGGTAAGCTGGAAACAGAGTTTTTAAAAAACAGCCTCAGCACTTCAGTATGTCAGAAGTGGATGTTTGCATGACATTGGTGAGCTGAATCCTTCACTTTCAGTGAAGGCATTAGTGGGTTTGTGATCCAAGTCCTGATCTGCACTAAGAATATATTGAACTGTTTTGTCAGTATCTAGGATGGTCAGCATGAACAAAAACATCCCTGAATTATCAGTGCTGTTTGCAGCACAAATCCAAAACATAGCCCAGTACCAGCTACAGTGAAGAAAATTGACTCTACCCCACCCAAAACCAGGAGACTCTTATTCTCCTCTTTCCTCTCTAGTTGTTTTCCATTTGGAATATGCATCATGAGAAGGACCTTCACTTTATCTGCTTCTAAGGCATACTTGGTGCTTAGGCACATAAATAACCCAAGGGAAAGGATCTGTAACAAACATTGAGTTGTGCCCAAACCAATACAGGAGGTTTGTTTATTGGCTGGTAGTATTTTGCATCCTCAATCTCCAGTCTGCTGTTGCAATGGCATTGGCTTCATGTGTGATTCTGCTACAGTAACAACCTTGCAGTAAAGTAAGGCAATGCCTAGAATAAATGAATGTGTAAAACTGATATATCAAAAAAAGTCTTGGTTTGTATATCTTCTTGGAGTAAAAGTACTAATTTGGGGGGTTTATGTGCTTAAAAAATGTTCATGGCTGTTTAATATTGTAGGCTCCTTACTGCTTTCCTGCTGTGTGAGCCAAAAGAAAGGGATGTATGCAGATTCCTCATCTACATCAGTGCCAGACCTGCAGTCTAGCTTACTCCCATGCTCTTGTGTCAAACTGCTGGAGTTTTCTTTGGCTGGGCAGTTGGAAGAGTGCTTGTGTGTCATGGCACCTGCTGCTGGGGGGCTGAACACCCCAAATGCCAGCCACAAACCGTTCAGGGCAGTGGCTCAGGGAGGGGATAACACTGGGGGTCCTGTATGCCTGAGGTGAAAATGCTGGAGCAGGAAATTTTGTATAAAGCAAAAAACTGGCAGCTTGGCAGGCACAGCTTGCAAATGTTTATTACCACATGGAAAGTAAATATCTAAGGTTAAAAACACTCTTAAGTCCTAGACAAAAGTGTTTATCTTGTGTTAAGCTTTGTATATTCTGTGATGGCAGAGCCTCCTCCCAGCCTTCCATCAGTAGTACTGCTAAAAAAAGTTAGTCCTTTGAGTCAAAGGTTCCTGGAGTCCTCTGAGCAGCAAGAGGTTTTACATACCAGATACAAGTTTGGGGAAAAAAAGTGGTGTTTTAACTTGTCTAACTGTTATAGCCAATGCTTGTATTCATTTTATTTCTTATTGTAGATGCTGCTGAGTGAAAAAGCTGAGGCTTTACAAGAAGAGGTTGAAGAACTCTTAAAAGTGCCTGCAGACATCCCAGGGATCTCCTGACCAACTGCCACAAAGGAAAATCATGATTCCAAAAATTGGGATATTTTAAATTTTTTAACTTTCCTGTGTAAAGCTGCTGTGCATGTAATAAATATTTAATGTCTTTTGTATACCCTTGATTTCGTGTGAATTCTGAATTTAGAATGTTTCTTGGAAAGTTGACTTCACTTGTAGATTTTGGTTGTGAACCTCGAGGTTGGATACTCCCCTTGGGACATGTGCTACTCCAGAATCCCCACTTGGAGGAATCTCCATGCTCTAGGTGTAGCTAATGGAAGAGGAGAGATTGCAGTTTGTAGAAGCTGTCCCAGAGTTGTGTAGGAGATTGTAAACAATGCCTAGTGTAAGCCTTGTTCAAAGCTGCAAATATCAAACAGCCTCTGGCCACTCCCCCTGAGAAAATTATTTCAGGATATTTCTCTCTTTCAAACAAAGTTTCCAGGGTTTTTTTTGAATATTCTTTAAATTTCTTGCTTGAATGCCCAGACTAATAAAGACAGAGTCTTGCACTGAGTGTTGGGAAGCCGTGTCCAGCCCAGAGGCTGCCTGGGCCTGTCAGGCACACTGGCTGGGTGTCTGCACCAGGCTCCAGCAAAGCCTTGGGCTGCAGGGAAGGAGCTCTGAGGGTGCTGAAGCTTGTTGAGTTGTCACCCAGTGAGGTCCTGGGTGAAGCTGGGGGGTGGCTCATGGCACACTGGGCTCTGACAGGCAGCTGGGTTCAGTCAGGGTAGCCACACTGAAACGTGGGATCTCCAGGTAAAATCAGCTGTCCCTTGTCACAAAGGGAAGATAAACCTTTGTTAAATGGTCTTTTCCTGTTAAACTTGGGCTGATTGTGTTGGGGTTCCAGACAGGAGTGGATTTAAATCCAGGGGGTGGTTAAGAGCTTGGCTGGAGGGTGGTGAAACACCCGTGGGAAGGCTGGTGCTGCACTGCTCCTTTCTTGCTGCATTACAGTAATGACAGGGAGGAGTGGATTGTTCACAAGCCTTCACTGAGCAGAAAGGTGCCTCTAGGACAGTTATGGTACTTCATAGCAGCTGACAAAATTGGGGTAAGTGAAACATTTGAATGCATTCAGTCTGAAAGCAGATCAAGAGTTTAAAAATGGCCCTTCCCAGAGGCAGAGTAACTCATTGCAAGGCTGGGTCAGTGCCTGCAGGGCAATCCTGCTGTGCTGCCTCAGGGCCCGGGGCACAAATGGGTTTGGAGATGGCACAGCCTGGGTCAGTGCCTGCAGGGCAATCCTGCTGTGCTGCCTCAGGGCCTGGGGCACAAATGGGTTTGGAAATGGCACAGTGAGGTAAGCTGGCTCTAACAGCAGGGTCTGTCCTGCCCTCAAGTGCAGGAGCAATATTTGCCATGACTTGAGGTTGTCTGAGGCTGTCTCTTAATGCCTTGTCTGTTCAGCTGAGAGGTTTTTAACCAAACTGTAGGTGATACAACATCCTCTCTTGCTCTGTTTCATTGCCTTCACAGCTCGTGCTCAGCGTGACTGCAGGTACATATCTAAGCACCTGCTGTAGCATGCAGGTAGGAGAATTTTAGTGATGCCTCTTTGGCCTAACCAGTTGCTCTAAAGATTTTTTTGGTGCCTGATGGTGTTCCTCCAAAGCTTGAAACAGTTTTGCATGGATTTAGGGGGTAAAAAAAAGGGGCAAATTACCATAAAATTATTCTCTCAATGCCGAGTTATTGCAATAATGGATTTTGTGGAAATAAATCTGTTAAGTGTTGTATTAACTACAGGAGTAATTAAGGAGCCATTAACCTCTGTCACAAGCACAGCTCGTGCTCAGCCCAGTGTGAATGCAGGTACATATCTAAGCACTTGCTGTAGCATGCAGGTAGGAGAATTT